GTCTGGCGGGGGTCTGGGCAGGGACCATAGGTCTCCTCGGCCTCCGGGTGAGTCTGGGTCTGGTGCGGGTGGTCCTCCGGGTGGGCCAGGGTTGACAATGTCGGGCGGTTTGTTGTTGGGGTTAGGGGGAAGGCCGTGCTTCTTTCGCAGCGTGTCCAGTTCATTTAGCTTCTGGGCCATTTCTTCCCTGGCGGTTTCTAGCTTCGCTTCTTTGGCTAGAATGTTGTGGTAAAGGTTCCGGCGGGCCTGGGCCGTGGCTTCGCATTCTTCCGCAGTTTCTTCTGGTGCTCCGGCAAATAGTCGGGACTTTCCCGGAATTGGGGGTCCGCCTTGTTGCCGGATGGACTGTTTCAGTTTTGGTGGGGAGTTGAGCATTGGTTTGGGAGAGGGCGGGTATAGCTCGTTGTAGCTAATTATCAGGGGCTTTGAGTAGAGCGGAAAATCTGTATTGAACATAAAAACGGCCTGCTCGTGGGCGGCGTGTACCCGTACTCTTTTCATCTCCTCCTCATCTCGTTCCCTTTCTGCTTTCATATATCAAACCCCCAATGCGCTTGCTAACCATGAAATCTCCTCCACTATATGCGTGTACCTTTCTTCGACCCTGAGGTCGTATTCTTCTGCGACTTCTTCTTCAGTCAGAAATGTCTTCACCTCGGGATAGTCGTCATCGACCTCCAGCCACTCCGGTTCTCTGGCTGAGCCACTCGGCTCCGCTGTTGACTCCATCTCCTGAGTCTCGTCGTCCTCTTCCTCTTTCAGTATTTGTAGGTCCCCGTGGGACGAGGTCGAGGGGGATGCGGTTCTGGCTGATTCAGAGGGAAGGGGGGTGGACGACTCCGGCTGGTATCCTGATGGTGGCATGTCGTAGGGGCAGAACGTGGTGGGTACGATGCCACCAGTCGCTGGGAGTCTCTCCTTCTGCTCAGGGCTCAACCTGTTCCATTCTTCCGGGAGTATAACTCGGTGGCTGCGGCCAAGGGTCAGTGAGGGGGCTGAAGGACCGCTGGTAGAGTCCTGAGAGGTCGAGGGCTGCACGGTTTCAGGGAATGTGGGCTGGGCTGAGGGGACAGGGCTCTTCGGTGGAGGGGCAGGCAGGGAACTCCTCGGTGCTCTCTGTGTCGACCCTGATGACCTGGGCGACTGAGGTGGTGTAGTCCGAGGCGTCCTCGTCGTAGTCGGGTACGGGGGTGCGGGCTTGGTAGGGGTGGTTAGCGAAATGCGAGAGGCCCCAAGGGCAAGTGCGCCCACACTGTCTTTCAGCTTCCCTGTCACCATTGCCCAGGTACTCTTCGGTCTCTGGCTGGGGCAAGGGCTGCTCCTGCTCGAGGGTTTTGAGCTCATATGTCTGTGGGTAGACATGACGTTGGCGGTGTAGTTTTGGAATTAGGACTCCCAGTCCTATTCCTATGATAGTGAGGGTGAAGGGGACAAGAATTGCCACAAGGGCGATGTGGAACTCAACAGGGGTCAGGTCTCTGGTCTGTTGCATGGGTCTTTGCTTGCGTCGTGTGCGAGGAAAGAAGGGAAGCTTCGAGCTAATTGTTAGACCCAAACCTCACGTGATCCAAACAAGAGTAAACTCAGGCTGCCTCATGTTCGGACAACCACCCGAGAGTCTCATGGAGTTCGGATATAAGTGAAGAGATTGGACTGAGTTCTTAGTCGAGCGAGTTAAGAGAGAAGTTCAGTATTGATAAACTTTAGCTCGAAGCTGGGGTATTACAGCGAGAGCTACCTACTTATATACGAAAACTGTAGTGCTAATAATAGCTACAACATACGAGGACAATACGGTTGTCATGCGTTCTGCATGAGCCATAGTTACTAGCTACTTGGCCTAAGCCATCCGGTTCTGGTATGGTCACGTGGGGTCGGGGATGACTCGGTCCTTTAATAATTAGGAAAGAAAATGAATAAGTGTGGGAAATCGTAACATCCTACCTGTCACTAACACTTGCCACAACACTTTGGTGCACTATTTTCATATTGTACCGCATTATAAGTGTTGCAAGGTCCAGTCATAGAGCAGGAATACACTCATATCATGGAGTCATTGAAGCACTTGTTGAATCAGCATCTTTATACTCTACTATATTCATCATTGATATAGTATTTGTGGCTCGTGACATGTTGGGTGGATACTATACTGATATTCTGTCTGGTGCTATAAAGGTCTGCCTATTATGATATTGAATGAAGATTAGAATTGATTTCTACTTATTACAGGGAATTGCACCAACCCTTCTGGTTGGACATATTGCAGCAGGACATGCAGGGCCAGATGACTCTTGGCAAGAGAGTAGTACTTCCACAGTATCCTCTCTCAATTTTGGGACTGGTACTGTTTCAACACTGGATGAAGATATTTCACATGATAATCTAGATCCAGTGCCAGAGAGAAATTCTGCACTTATTGAAGAGGCCAGAGAGGCAAGATCCTTGGACATAGTCTAAAGTATCAGAAGCACAGAGAACAAAATTGTCAGGCAAGCCTGCTACTGCTCCTTTATATATTTAATGTATAGATGTGATAGATTGTTTCTAAATAATCCTCATATATTTTAAGTATTGTAGCTGCTTTAATCACTGGATCCCGCATAGACAAGTTTAAAGAGTAAGACTAGAATTGGACTCCAAAGCCCATGCTACATAATATAAACTATGTAGTGCATCGTACATAGTACATACAATGCGAAACTATCAATGCTCAATATTTGAGAAATCAAAAAGGGCCTCACTGGGAATTGAACCCAGGACCTCCTCGAATTTCAACCCAAACGAGGAATCATGCGACTAGACCATAAGGCCACATCTAATTTCTCTTCCGTGAAATATAGGTTGCTATCGTACCTGTTTTTAAGATTTCCTGACCCTTAGTTGCATAAAGCCATTCACTGGATTCGTCCCTTCTGTTTGAAGTACCGCCACGGTACGGTGTTTGTTGCACCGTCTCTCAAAAATGAACCCCTATCGACAGCGGTATCTTCTTCGACATCTATGCACATGCAGACGACTTTTCCACCAAAATGGCCGCTATCTATCAACCAAAAGGACCGAAACGCTGCGAGACATGCCGTCGTCATCTTCCAGCCTTCCAAAATCCCAGCCCTCGCCGGGTGATATAAATTTGGAACACCAAAAGAGTTGGCTGACGCGAAAAGTCGAGTCTTCACCGACAGCGCGTTGGTGGTTCATGAAATTCGTGAATTTGCTGGGGTACGGGACTCCGAAGCAGTTGGCAGGGAGAAGGACGTTTCCGTTGTATGCAAAGCTGTGCGCAGCTGCACCAGACGCAGAGATGACATTCTGGCATCAAGGTATGTATGTCTCATTTTTTTTAGTGCAAAGGTATTGACTTTTCCTAGATTGCGATTTGCCGCCAACATTCCAGTCGTGGTTTACTGTCGCCAACCTCCATACTTGGATGCTCGCTGTTCGTTTCCGCGCTCTTCCATCTCCCCACGGCAAAGAATACGTGCAGGGTCTCGTGGATCACTTTTTCCTTGATATTGAAGACCGAATTCGTGCCGTGCTCCAACCTCCTTCAAAGCCCACAGAACCGTACACTTTCGCGTCATCCTTCTATACCAACCCTAATGCGCCTACCACGGGACCCGACGGCAAGCCCATACGGCGCAGAGCCGCACCGGAGCGATTGGTATCTCGGCAAATGAAGATTTTCAAGGAGCAGTGGGCAGGGATGTGGATGTCTCTCGACCACGCCATGGTGAAGGGCGACATGGAATTGGCAGCTGCTGTATGGCGGAACCTCCTCGGCGCTCGTGGAGCAGCAGGCATCGCGTATCCCGATCCCAGTGATCCCAGTGCTCCTGCTCCGTACCGTCGTACCGTCAACCTCGTCGGAGGCCTGGTGGAGAACATTGAGAAAATCGACTTTGAGAAAGAGGCGCACCGGGATGATGGGTCTGGCGTCCACGATTATGCGCCCTCGGAGGCGGATAAATACGTCAAGTATCCCGACCTTATGCTTGATGTGGTGACGTACCTTCGCGGGGAACTGGTTCGATTGGAGAATATCAGCGACGAGGAGATCATGCATGGCGATATTGCCGGACTAGGATTTGGTCGAATTGCTGAATCTACAGTCGACGCGTCTAAATCCAGTAACGCGGCAAAGTCGAGTGGTACACCCCCCACTGGCGGCGCACCGAGGCTTAGTGACACTGCCAAGTCCAGCGACGTTCTCAAGACAACCCCCTCCAAGCCCAGCAAACTCTCTACCAGCGAGGCCGCCAAGTTCGCTGCCACATCCAAGACGAGCCCTCCTGGAAAGCCCAAGAACGGCAGCTCGCCGAATCCCAGCACCCCTAAAGCAGACCCTGCATTCAAAACAAGTGACGTGAAAAGTTCGCCTTCCAGGTCAAAAGCAACAAAACCCATTACATCTTTAAAGAAGTAATCGCTGCCGTACACCCTACTCTCTAATATAAACGCTGTATCATTATTGTTCCTCATCGGCGTTAATCATCTGGCGGAGATAATAAATATCGACTTCGGAGATCTGCAGTGAACGCTTCTTGATGCACGACTAAGAGATATGGCCAACGACCGCCTCAAAATAGTTTTGATTTCATATACAGCATCTGATCCTTTCCAGCCTGCCCCCGACTCAAACCCGACCGCACATAGGGACCATTGTAGAAAAAACACGACCTTTGGGCGGGTCGCCTCTAACTGCTAACTAGGCTTCAATATTCAGCTTCTGTCCAAGACCTGTATCCAGTATCCAGGAATCATGCCACCGAGATTCAGTGATAAACACCCTTAGTCCATAGTCACGACTAACGAAGAGTCTTCATCTAATACAAAGTGAATTTGTTCTGGTATTGCGAAAGTGATTGTCAAGGAGGGAAAACCGTATTAACGACGTAGCCAAGCTACGTTGTCTTGTCTTGCACAAGCACTGTATCGTGGTGCGCTCCACTGGGGTATCTACAGGCCGTGACTGCCTCAGCATCATTCGTAAGGGTGTTGTCGACTTGATGGTCTAGTAGTATGATTCCTTGTTAGGGCGGTCGCTGCAATCTCGAGGAGGTCCTGGGTTCAATTCCCAGTCAAGCCCGTACGCCAAGTGTTTCGTCTTTTAATAGCAGTTACCACTCACGACTGGCGGCTTGCGGGGGTGTGCAGATTCGTCCCAGGTTGGGGTTGGGCACAAAAGTTAAACCCCCAAGCGGGGTGTGACTTATGTTTTTCACTAACCTCTCCCCAAGGAAGGTGTTTTGATACCGTAATAGACCGTTACTTATCACGCTGGAAAGCCGCTTATATTTAAATTATACTCGCGGAACTGGCATCTGTATTACATGTTTTCTCCTAAGTCCGTTTTCGCCTTTGGGACTTTTTCGTTGTCGAGGATGCTGTAAGCTATCAGAACATACTACAGTTTCACTCTTGTACCGAACCGCCATTACGTCGTTCTGTCCGTTGATATGCGATATCCACCATATTCATCGTTGATCACTTCTTCTCCCTACACAGTCCATCCAAAAGCATCAGAAAAGACAATACGTCCAAAAAAAGCTTACTTACACGTCCGCATCCCTCAAGATCGCCTCGAACCTACTCCTCAGCCTCTGCACCTCCCTCTTATGCACATCCTCCGTGCTCGACCCAAAATCTACCAGAAATGCCTTGCATTCTCTGATGAACTGCTCGAGATCCTTTGCCACTAGTAGGGATCGCTCGGGTTCGTTCGATCCTCGTGCTCTGGTGAGGAAGGCTGCTGTAAGCGTCGATATACCCCCTAGGAAGTAGGAAGAAATGAGATTTTGGGGAATACGGAGATGAGACTTTACCGAGGACGGGAAGGACGATCGAGATCTGGCAACCTTCAGTCAGCGTATCTAGGCATAGAGCACTGATTTCGCACCTTGCGTCCCGTAACAAGTGCTGAAATGGCAGTCGTTAAAGCGCCAACAAGGAGTTGTATGCCTATACAAGACATTTCGTTTCGCGGTAGTTCTCTGGCGGTGCAGAGACTTACCGATAGCGATATTCATGGTGTACCCTTTCGTCATCGCGCGCTCCGTGTATTTCTTCCTCTCCGCCTCTGCTGCTATAATCGTAGGAAGCATCCGCTCCTCTACGTTTTTGACGTGGATCTACCTGGAATGAGTAGATTGGATCGGTATCTGAGGAAGCGGCCTACCTTAGACTCGTAAGGAACAATGTAGTCAAGCGCTGGTATAGGAGGCAGAGGTCGGTTGACGCGGTCATGTCCAATCTGAAGTGGGTCTATGATGCTAGAGGGTGTCTTATTCGTTTGCTGGGTAGATACGGAGATTTCAGTTGGGGTGATACTAGCTTCTGGGTTCGAGTTCGTTGGTGCAGTCGTTTCTGGCAGTTTCGTGGAATCCTGGAGCGTCGTGTTCTTAAAGGTAGGTCCAACAGTAGCTACGTCCGCAGTCAGGGCAGGCGCAGTGGTAGAAATTACTAGGGGGACAGAGGGTGTAGCGGAAGTAGAAGTGGCGTTTACAGGGATATGAATCGGTTTCGTGGGTGCATCAGGAAAGGGAGGCGTTGGTTGCGACGAGCTCGACGATGGCTTTTTATCAGCAGGAACCAATGGTTTGATTTGTGTAGAAGTAGGAATACTCGGCGGCAGCTGGGATATGGTCGGAGCCGGCGTTGCTGATGGCGAGCCTGTGGTTGAAGCGGTGGTAGATACTTTTTCAAGTGAGGGAGCAAGCATGTTTGATGAATCGGCTCGAGGCACTGTCAAGTCAGGTGTTGGCGGGATACCAGGCTGCGTAGATAGCGTTTTCTGAGTGTGCGACTCTGACATTGCCGCACGACTCTGTACCAGAGGGAACACGACGACGATGCAGTTGATATAACGAGAACGTTCGAACATCTTGATCATGTTTCAACTAAGATGGGTGCTCTGTTAAACTTCGACGCCAGGAGAAAGCTGTGAGATGGGCTGTTGGGTCCGTCAGATGGTCCGGGATGGAATGACATTTGGAAGCTCTGAGGATGGCTTCGCGGCTAATAACGACGGATCCTTCGTGTCGGACGAATGAAGTGCGGCGTGTATCTATCGACTTGTCATCGGTGAAAGATTTCACAGCGAAGACCCGCCTGGGCAGGGACAGCCGGCACTGACAGTGAGAAATGTTGTACTGCATTTAGCGTGGCATCTAGAAGTGAGCGACCTTCAGCAGTTGTTTCCACCGCAATGTTTCCGATGGGAAGGATAGTAATTGAGAATATATGCTACAGTGGGGTAATCTATATGATGCTCAGACACAGTCAACGGAAAGAGAGGACTACCCACCTGATCATACAAATAACAAAAACCAGAACCAATGTTATGTTGGTCCCTTTCCCCCATCAGCGCCTTGAATGTACATGCCAACATGAACTCTCGCAAGGTGACTGGCATTTTCTTCAATTACTGGTTTCACTTTTATACAGGCACGCCTAGAATAAACTTGCAGTTCACGTGGTGTTCAAACTCGAAGCAGAGCATTTAATCACCATAATGAAGCATACCCCACGATATATCCAGTCGAAGAATTCCTCGTAATCTGGAGGTGCGTTGGAATGCTTCCAATCACAATTCCTTTTATAGTCTGTCGAATGTTACATACCGAGAAAAAAACAAGAGCAGAAACACGAACACCTTTATTCTTCCGCTCTATCGTCGGCCCAACCTCTAGTTCCAGCCGTGACGGTTTCCTTTTCAGAGTTTTTGCTGGTACTGCAGAACCTTGAATTGCGGCTTCGGCAGGATAAGTTCTCTGCCCTTTGCATGCAAGAATAGCAGTAGCTTTCGAGGAGTGGTATCATCAGGTCACGGTAATGCGACCGGAAATGGTGCTATTCGTGCAGCTAGTAGTCGCAAAGCTTTACTTACTACGGAAGACGCGTAGAGAACGGCATTCGTCACGGCTGTGTCCCCAAGCACGACTTGGAACGCCTATCGAATGCTATTGCTCTGGCCGGAGGCGGAAAATGTTCTGAAAGTAGATGGTAGAAAGAACGGCCTGTATATGATCATGAAGATCGCAGTTGCCTTGTCATCGTACTAGACATCGGCAAGATTGATATACCTTGCAATAAGGTCGTCTGTGCAGTAAGGATGTCGGTGAAAGTGAAGCTATCGAGGTGTACGTGGGAGTCGGGAGGCGCCGGGCTACCCCTGTAGACAAGGCTGCTCGACGTCCGAGTGGGCGAGTTCATTGTTAACGATGATGTCGGAAGCCAACTTGTCTAGAGGTGTTTGATCACGTGTATTGCTGTAGGTTAGCGCTGGGGCTGTTACTGGACCGTCATTATTGTCTGTGACACACAGACCGACTTCACTTTCTCATCCTGCGACGCCGATAGCCATACACCGATGCCGGAGATGCCAATGCATGGTTCTTACACTGGCAGTTTTGGAATGGTGCCACAGCGCGACTTTACACCGTACGCCTGGAACTCGGACATCGAATATGTGATACCAACCCGGTCGGGCCTACGGTTATATTCTATGCCAGACATGATTGTTTATGTCGGGGACAGTGATCCCCTGTTAGACGCATCCTCGAGTTTCGAGGATGGGCAGAATGATAGTAATCTAATGTTAAGAACGCACGCATTTGGTCACTTTACTCAAGTCTAGGATAAGCTCTCACCTTGCGTCGGGTAACAAGCACTAATACGGCAGTAGTTAGAGAGCCGACCAGGAGCTGTATGCCTAGCACAAGTCCTCATATTAACTTCCTTTAAGAATAGGGAGAGGAACAACCCGGCTTACCAATAGCAGCATTCATAGCATACCCATTCATCATTGCACGCTCCGCGTACATCTTCCTCGCCTCCTCTGCCAACACGATTGTAGGACGCAGGCGCTCCGCTGCTGTTTTCACTTGGGCATGTCTGTCTGTCTGCTTCAAGTGAGCGGGTTGGTCTGAGGACAAGAAAGCGGTGACCTGAGGCACGATCCATTCGAGATTTGGCGCAGGGGCTGGGGGTCTGTTGACGCGGTCACGTCTCATCTGGAGTCTGTTCGATGAGTCCACACTGCGACTGGTATTATTTATGTGCTGGGAGGTCGTGCAGGTTTGAGCAGGAGGGATATTGGTTGGTTCCTGGACTGTCGTTGCAATTGGGCCGGGTGGTCTCTCAAACGTAGAAGTTTTGCCGCGCGCAGTGTTTGTAGAGGCAGATACAGGAGCAGCTGTGCTGGTCGTGGAGACCTATACCGTGGTAGAGGGAGATGCAGAAGAATTATACTGTGTATCGGTCATTACAGTCGAGGGAGAAAGGACGTTTGAAAGAACGGGCGTCTTGGGAGAAGCAGAAGAGGGTTTTGTCACGTTTGTGGGCGTCTGAGTCGTTTTAGTTAATGCAGCTCTTGGATTATGAGAGGGAGGCGTTGGTTGCGACGAGGATGGGTTCTTTTCAAAGCTGTATGACTGTGGTAACGGCTGGATTACGGTTGACTTTGTAGGAGTCAGCATTGCTGGATTGATAGCGAAAGGTCATTTTTATGTTCGGAGGAGCCATAGATACCTCTGTAGGTGAATGCGAGAGAACAGCAGCAGGGGGTGAAGCAAGGGATGGAAATGTCGGGGCAAGTATGTATGGTGAGTCAGCTCGGGTGGAAGTCGTCGACAAAGGAGCGGCGCCAGTTTGCGGGTTTTCAGCCCGCGGAGGACGTGCTTTTTCCTGGCAGGTGACCCTGGCATTGGTTCACGGAAATCTTGTGTCACTAGGAGCGTAAAGACGGACAAAGGTGTACATGGGCTAGTTGATATAGTGGAGGTCCCTATTTCTTGATGGGTTTCAGTAAATTTCGGGCTTCTGTATTAAAGTCGATGTCGTCAATGAGCTGTGAGATTCTTCAACGAAATACGAGTGATGTAGTAGAAGTTTCTCGGTGTCATAAGGAAGCGCAGACTGGCATTGGGCTCTCCAAATGGATTGCCACTGACTTGGCGGTGGAGGTTGGCTACTATCTTAATACGACGGGGTTGAAGGTAGCCGCAGTTGCGACGGCGGGAACGAATCGATCACCGACAAGCAACATCCAGTGAAGCTCATGACGATAGATAAGGAGAAGGGAGTTCG